GTCACTGTTATAGTAAGGAACATGATGACTAGTTCTAGGGCCTAGTAGCACATCTCCTGGGACTTTCAAGTAGGGAGAAAAGAGCTATTTAAATATCTGTATGGGCATTTTCCTATATAGATGAAATGCTGAGAGCAGTATCCACAGAATTTTGAACCAATCGTCCTCAAAAGGCCAAAAAGCTAAGTGCCATAATTATTAGGGAGGTAGTGTGCTGTCATGGAAAGCCTGTTGGACCCTGAGATTCAGGAGATCTAAGTTCTAGTCTTTGCTCTGCCACTACCTAGCTATTTGACTGGGTAAATCTTTAGGCCTTATTTTCCTCCTTTGCAAAATAAGACAGTTAGACTGACTGCTCCCTGGGGCCTCTTTCAGTTTTAAAAGCATTTGATATCTTTGTGATATATTGGTTCTCTCCTGACAAGATCCTGGCCTAAAAGTTCTGTGTAGGCTCTGTACAACTGAATCCATGGTAGTATGGCTTCAGCCCAGAGGGTGAAATATGGGCTTTACCTTTGAGACATGATATACACAGGAAAAAATATAGGTCACTATGAGACCTTCCTGACTACATTCATGATAACTTTCCAAATAAGGGAAGACTATGCCCCTCTTCTGGCTATTTCCTTGCATTGGAATGATTTCATTTCCTTCAACATCCTTGTTGCTTCTGGATTTCCTAGAACTTTCTGATGACCCTTCTAAAATGTGAGGCCAAGAACTGACCACATTATCTTAGAGGTGGTCTGATCAGATCAGAATACAGCTCCATTTTGTTTACTTGTTGTCATGCTGGCAGTGGAGGATCAACCTGAGATCTGGGGAGACTTGCTGCTACAAAAGGCTATCTCTTCAACACTAGGATTCTCCTGGTGATGCTAGATGACTGTGAGTAATTACCAAGATCTTGGAAGACGCAACATTACAAATAGCCTAAAGGACAATAAAAAGACACATGGGAGGGGTAAGTAGGAAGCAGCATGTTGCCAACATGACTTGTATGAAAGAAGTGGTATAAAGGATGCATGTTTATAAAATGCCTTAAGGTCTGGAAAGCACTTTCACCATCATCAAAGACACACTTGCCCAGAAAAGGAAGTAGATTAGTTATATAGGTGAGAAAAAGACAAAAAATAGACAGAAGACTACACTGTTATTTCCTCATCCCTACACACGTAAAAAAAACTAGAGGAAGGTCTTTGGTGTGTTGGATGGATACTCTATGAAGAAATTATGTGAATACAGAGACACAAATCATCCAAAATGGGATGGATTTTCCTTTGGTGGAAGGAATTCTCACAATAATGAAATTACAGATCCATCGGAGTTTCAAAGTAACATGTTGAAAGGGCCTGAAAGCTGGTGTAATGCTAAAACTGCCAAACAATGATGTGGATGACCAAATAAAAGAAGGGGATGAGAGTATGGGAAGACAAGAGCTGATCACTTGAACAAACTCCAGGCCAAGCTGAAAGACCCTAGGGCAATAATGTATCCAACCTTCATGATGGTTATGTATCACCTATAGTGATACTTTTGACTTCTTAACCACTTAATAGTATTTGATCCATACTTAAAAACTTAAATGGCACTATGGGCTCACTGGGGCCTTGAGGTCCTAGAGCCATGGTAATATAGCGTCATGAAAAGGGATGTTCAATGCCACTAAGATTTTCTGTGTGAGACAGGTGTCTAAGCAGATGCTGTGAGGCAACTTAAGGTCAGATGGGCAGAAGAAACGCTTCAGGGACTCACTGAAACAGTAAAAAACCAGCATGGTATGATGGACGTGCTAAATCTTTCTGGACCTCATTTTTTGATCTATAAAATGAGGGGGTTGGACAAGAACCTCCTGAAAGTCCATTGCAGAGCTAATATGAAATATCAGGAAACAAGAGGCAAACAGAGCAACTTGAGATGTAGTCGTCAAGAGATGATTCTTTTTCAACAAAGTTGGTGTGATGCCTATATTCAAAGCCTCAACAACTGTCTATTCAAGCTGTGCTGATGGCAAAAAATGGAAATGATTATGGACGAATCACCATAAATCTTTTTAGTGATAGTGACACATGGACAGCATTTCCCTGATCTATCCTAATTTATACTTCGATACAGAGTTCTGACAGAGAAGATCACCCTGGAACAAGATCAGCAAGGCCCAAGTCCTTCCAGGTGAAGTCAGAGAAATCAGTTAGTGCATCCTTTCACTTTGCTTAGAAAAAAAAAATGATGTAGAGATTTCCTGACCACAAGCTTTACTCCTTCAGAAAAAGCAGATTTGTTTTGGGAATAACAGTGAAGGGGAATGCCCGACTCCTCCAGTCCAAAGAAATGGAACTTATTCAAATGTAAGAGAAAGATGATGCAATCATGAGTATTTTCTTTCCTGGTCAATGTTTTATCCTTAAATAATGATGGCCCTGATTTCTGAATAAGCCCTTGTGGAGGAAAAACAGTAACCACAATCATCTTGCAACGTCTTGATGGACTAGTCCCTTAACCACCTGGTGGCCTAATACTAGAAACTACCCAGCTCCTTTTGAAGGAGAAATAAAATAGTAACAAACTAAAGATATTGTAAAGACAACTACTTGCTTTACTTGGATAAGAAATTCTGCTGTTTTGTGTAAAAGGACTTTTTTCTTAATTGTAAAAGTATTTGGTCACTTAGCCTTGTTCCCTGCCCTTGAACATGGAATGTTTTCTTATTCCAATAATAAATCCTGCCAGTTGTATTTCTTTTTTCTCCATTGGCTGATCACTCTTTTTCTCTCTCTCTCCCTCTCCCTCTCTTGCAAAATGTTTTACTTATCTATCTTAAGTTGATGCATAACACTGCTGATTGGCTTTGTACTACAACTGATCTTGAAAGGTTATAAAACCCAATTTGTCCCCTAAGAATGTAAAGCTGCCAAAAGTGAGATATAAGTCTTCTTTAGTAAGTTAATTCATCTCTTTATTTTCAGTTTGGTCTCCTATCTAACCCAAAGTCATCAGACCCCCAACAATAGGTCTGTGTCTTCCAAAAGGTCCCATTCCTCTCAGTCAAGGCAATTCCCTGATGCCCTTCAAAATATGAAGTATCTTACCTTCTTGGATTTTGAAGATGGATGCTGATGTGGGCATCGTCAATAACTGTCTAAATAGGTATCTATAGGCACCAGCACATTGTAGTTGCTCTCCTTTAATTTGTGGCCCCTGTGTCTCAACAGTGTTGTGACATTGTGTTTCCTAGCACATACCCTTTAATAGGTTAGGCAACAACAATCTATAGTAATAACAATAAAATAAAATTTAAATTTTATAATTATGAAATGATGCTTCAAATCATAGCAAAAGAAACAAGCAATTGGTGAAAGTACCTTCTCAATAAGTATTTGTTGAGTGAATAAACAAATGAATAAGTGAATGAAAAGGGGCAATTTGTTACTTAGACAAAAACCCAGCAAGGTAATATTCTATAAATGTAAACATGTACATTTTAATTCACTTGACAAATATTTATTGAGTGTCCACTGTGTGCAAGACACACTCAAATACACTCAGCATCATTTTCATGTAGCCACTCCCATGAATTGCTTTAGTACTCAATAAAAGCTGCCATTTCACCACTCTTTCTATAAAGAAATGCAATCATTTGGCATAGTTTCAAAAAGGAAGTGTCACTTGACATCTGATCCTGGAGCCCTCAGGAGTAATTATCCTAGCATCTCATCTGTATAACACTTTTTATAATGACAGATTTCAAGGACATTTTTAGTTTCACACATGTAGCTCTACAGGTGAAATGTGGATGGAAGGAGGGGATGCCATTGACATAGCTATCACCTGTTGTTCTCGAGAGTCATGTCAATACATTTTGGTCAATGTTGGTGAAACAAATGGAAGAATAAATAGAAGTTTTAAAGTTTTACACAAACAAAGAAGAGCTGAGAATCCAGTTCATGACAGAAAATAAGCAAGTTTCATGGAGAATTGCTGAAAATCCTGTTGCATAATCAACTGAATGGCATTGAAGCTGTGTCTATTATGACGTCAGAACATCTGTTCGATTTAGAGAAGAATGAGCCAAGCCAATTTTTGGCATAGTTGCAGACCAAGCAACTGATTGGAATTTCCATTTTTAAATCAATTATTTTGGGATTATGTAAACATAGCCTTGTTTAAGGTGTCTGAAATGGTGGTTCTATGAATCTGTAATTTCAGACGTTTGAAAGATGGCTTTTGAATCATTCTCTGCTGAGTAGACAAAATGTATTACAGTTTTTGTAAACTCCAGAGATGACATGGTACCTTCTATGTCAACGTGATGGAATATCAGTAAAATGACTGAGTGTGAATTGACTGTAAATAACCTATGAGTATATAGATGATTCTATGTTCTCTGTATTTTGAGGATTGATGTTTTTTTTTTTTAAATATTGCACTTTGCTAGTATAGGAATAGCCTACTAAAGCCATGTATGCCCTTGTCTGAGTTGTTATAGATTAGGAGTTCAATAATCTATAAAAAAAAGGAATTTATTGACATTAAAGCAATGCATTAATTTACATATGTCCTGCTTGCTCAAATATCACTTACCTTAAAACAACTGTGAAAATCTCCACCCTCTCCTATGGAAAGAATACTGAGCAACATTTACTTTGAGATCAATAGCCAACTTTAATGGCAGCATTTAATGATTTCATAAAGGTTCCTTGCAAGTCCATTTATATTTCTGACCTGACAGTCTAGATTTAAAGCATTTGAAACCAATTGTAGTTTTCCATTAATGACTCTAAAAAGTCTGTAGTAGGCATAATGTCTTCCCAAGCTGACCCTGAAATGGATTTCTATCTGGGACTTGTGCACTAGGATAAGAGGGTGGAAAGGTAGGGTGTCAAAAGTATGACTGAATATGAAATGCTTTGGACTCCTAATTGATATTAACAGTTCATCTCACAATCAGTATTCTCTAGTTGGCTGGCTGCTACTGTGGAATAGATTTCCTCTGATTTCCATCAATCTCCAGCTGAATCCTGTGAACCTTTATTGAGGACTTCATCCTGTGAAAGCTGATGCTCAATCCCTTCATAATATGAGCTGCCATTATGTAGGAAAGTCCCCACAGCTCGTCCTTGCCGGGCATGGCCAACTGCGTCACTGAATACTTTATTTATTTGCTCCTCTGATGGCATCCACCAATCCGGGTTGGAAGTACAATGCATTCTAATGAACTCTGTGAGAAAGCACATAACAATAAAAACAAAACAAAAAAACAAGCAAGCAAGCAAACAACAACAACAACAGCAAGCTGGTCTTTGCAGAAGAAAATGGGTCTGCTTACTGAGAGCTCAAAGCAGACTAGAAAAATAGCAGTCCCATAACTGTGTAAGTGGAGGCTTTATGGAAAAAGCTTTATGGGAAATTCAATGGAATGCCATGATGATGCCATTTGTGGGGCCTCGTTTATTCCTATATAAATCTATCTGGCCACATGCAAAATACAAATTCAACCATGTAAGTGAGTTACAGAAATAGCAATTCCACCTTCCCCCCACCCACACCCCATCCTCTACTAAGAAAGCTTAAGGGAAGTTTTGAAGAAAAAAAATTAAATATCATTTGTATGATGGGCAGTGTAGGTCTAAAAAGGGTAGAAGAGTATATGTCCAAATCCATAGTCTGTATCCATTCTCATTTTGGCAATTTTTACCATTTTAATAATTCTAGAGGCATAATTATGATAGCATAATATTCTTTTGCCAGCTACAAATCTGCAAATTCCAATAGAGTGGGACTAAAGTCTTGGGGAGGGGAGATGATTGCTTCTGAGTTTCAAACTACTGAATTGTAGGTTATAATTAGGTTTTGAACTGTATTTTATGTACATGTACTTATATCACTTAATATTTTAAAAATGAGATTGATATCAAACTTCCCTTTCCCACCATTGCCATATAATTAACAAGTCTAGAGGGGCAAATTTATTAAAAAAAAAAAGATTTTATTTTTTGTTATAATGATCATGTGGTATCAAGGTCAACCTGCTGGTGATCACTGTCTTCATACTTAGCTAGGCTGGCCCTCGGACAGTATGTAGGCCTCTACCAAGAACATACCTAAAGCCTTTGAAGTTCAGTAGGATCTGTAGGAGCTTGTTCTAGCACAATCTTAAAGAACCCAGAGACCCGCCTTCTAGATGTATCATTGGAATAGGACTTTCATCTCAGGTAAATAAGATACCCAATTGAAAGTACAGATTAACCTTACTTGTTTGTGAATAAGTTTTTTTTTTTTTCTTTTGGTCCACACCTGCTATTTCATTGCTATAATGAACTGGAAGCATGCAAACTCCTTCCACCAGTGTATTGGCAACTCCTCTGTAACTTATAGTCCTAAGAGAATTGCTTGGGGTCTTGCCTATCATCACACAGCCAGTATGTGTAAGAGGAAAGACTTGAACCCATGGCTTCCTGACTCCTAAGCCAACTCTATGGATGATGCCACAGTGCTTCCTTAACTATTCTTTTGATATATAGCCTGGGCTTTCCTAATGAGGTAGGTCATATAGAGTTCCTTAGCAACTATCTTAATACCAACAACCCAGATTAAAAAGACTTTCCGAAATATTTCTAAATAAAGGTGTGTTATTGTCAATGTACTATATTTTAAACCAAGGCAAACATTGCCTATCCATCTTCAGTCTTCTAGTGTTAGCTCCTCCATAATTGAACACTATTCACTACAGGATTTTATTTTTTTTTGTCTGAGTTTTGTTTTTAAGAATTGGGGCTTCTGTTCTCCCCACTCTATGTAACTCCATAATAACTGGTTGATGTGTAAAGAGGTATACTTATTGGCTCTTGGTATTATGGAATTCTATATTTTTAAGTTGCCTGGACTCATAACAGATATTATATCTAGCATCACGAGAAAAAGCCATAATGGTTCTCCTAAGAGTCCCAAAGCACAATAATAGTTAATGGTAAAATGGAAAGAACATTTGATTTGGAATCAGAGAACCTGGGTTTGAATCCTGCTAACCCTGATAACCTCTGGAGCCTTGGGCAAGTGCCTTAACCCCTTGAGAACTCTGTAAAATGAGGGTGTTGAACTAATTGATCTCAAAGGTTCCTTCTGTTCAAAATATATAATCAGGGGAACTAACATGATCACAGGAAAGTTATTTTAACCCGTTAACCCTTTGTTTCCTCTTGCCAGTCTTTGTTTTTATCCTCAGGAATCATTAATTCAACTAGTACAATTTTGCTTTGGATTCTTCTGGAATTATGTATCTTTAAAGACACTATTTAATGGGGCAGCTAGGGGGCACAATGGTAGAGCACTGGCAAGGGCCCTGGAGTCAGGAGGACCTGAGTTCAAATCCGACCCCAGACCAGACACTTGACACCAGCTGTGTGACCCTGGGCAAGTCATTTAACTCTAATTGCCTCACCAAAAAAAAAAAAAAGATACTATTTATCTGCATAAGCTATAGTAGGTAAGCTGAAACATTGATGTGTAAAGAAATTTTTGGCTATGTAAGCAAAAATTTCTGCAGGGGTCATTGTCCTTTGTCAATGATGAAATAAACAAATTGTGGAATCCAAGCAAGGAAAGGGCCACTCAGGTTGTATTTATACCCAATAGGACAGAAAAGGTAGCATTCTTACACTTTCCCCCTGCAGACCAGACCTAAATGAACAACTGACAGATGGTGTAGAATTAGTGGATCTTGCTAGCATGGGTATCAAGATATCCTGAAAGTGCACAATTGTGGGAGCCTTGGAGAGTTCTGCTTCTGCTTTAATACACCACTAGATGAACTGGCAGAACTTAGAATTGGCCTGTATTTCCTTCCATCAGCCCTGCCCCTCCGAGATTTTCAGGGATTGCTTTGGTGCTATCTAAGCACTCATTTAAAACAACATGACCACATAGGTTCTATTACACTTATTTAAGACGTTGGATCATGAGATTCCAACTAATTAAAAATCTCTTTTTGTTCTTGTCCTTTTTGTTTAGAATGAGTAAAATTACCATGTGTTCCCTACTATTATCCTTTAAAGCTTCACAAATAGGTCCTCAAGTCTACTGAGAATCATAAGAATCATAGTGTATTTTGCAAAAGAAAGGGAGCCAAGGCTTTTGTACTTCTTGTACTTTGGAAAGAGCCCTGAGGGCCTGCCCTAGAGTCTCCCTCTATACCACCTTGGAGAGTGAAACACACCCTTCACAGGAATGGAACTGGCTGGAGCTAGAAGGGCCCTTTAGCGTGACTCCCCTCGGGGCTACCAGGGTTGTGGGAAGCCACACCCTGTGCAGGAGGAGAAAAATAGTCTTGGATTGGGCCTGTGCTTACACTTCATAACAATCCATTAAGTTTACCAAGGGAATTGCCAGCTTTATATGTCAGCAAAGGAGATAGGTTAATAACACACACACTATCTACATCTCAGAATAGGTGCGAGGAAAGCCCTTTGTAAATCTTAAAATGCTATAGAAATAAGAGCTGTTATTTTAGCACTTTCTAATGACCTTATGGAAATTAATATTGCATTATCTTCATCATCTGAGTTTATCTTATCCTTCTTATTAGATTGGATCTTCCATGAGGGCAAGGAAACAGGCAGCTGTACACACAGTAGGCACTTAATATTTGTTTTATGAATGACTAAATTTGAAGGATCACTAATCTATTGTTTTTCTCTTCTGTTGTTTGCATATTTTTGTTCTTAGGGGGTCCACATCCTAAGTTTGCCCAACTTTTTTCATTCTGATTTGAACATTTCTAAATTTCCTGGGGCAGCCTGAAGGAGCACACATGGCATTCACCAACAGTGGCAGCTGGGTTCCAGGTCAGAGGGGAGTCATGGAGGCAATTATCCTTAGGGTAATCATCAACTGAGGTTTTTTTGATGTCCAGCGATAAGGAGAACACTCTGCTACAAAAGACTGGAGGAATTAATCCCTTGCTCTCCCTACTCCCATCCCAAATCCTATCCCTATCATCAAGGCAAACTGCATGGGACTGCTCTTTGTCCTTCCCCATATGACACTTCAGGGTTATCCCCTTCTTTCACCCTTTAAGGCTGACTTTGACATTTATTTTAACCTGATTTGGCCTGCATGAAAATTTTCTGTGTGCTGGGTGCCCCCTGCTACTTGAGGAGGCTGAGGCTGATGGGTCTCTTAAGCTCAAGAGTTCTGAGCTGCAGTGGGCTAAACTTACGGGGTTATACACTAAGTTGGGCATTAATGTGGTCAGCCCTGAAGAGAGTAGGGTCCCAAATTGTCTACGGAGAGGCAAGCTGACCCAAGACAGAAACATAGCAGGTCAAAGTTCCCATGCCAATGAAAGTAGGATGAGTGGGACCAGTACTTCCAGCCTGAGCAAGATAAGGAGGCACACTTTAAAAAAAAATCTTTGGGGGCAGCTAGGTGGTGCAGTGGAAAGAGCGCCAGCCCTAAAGTCAGGAGTACCTGAGTTCAAATCCGGCCTCAGACCAAACACTTAACACTTACTTAGCTGTGTGACCCTGGGCAAGTCACTTAACCCCAATGCCTTAAAAAAAAATCTTTGCTCATCTAAATTAATGTGATTTGCTGTGAGCTAATGGGATAGAGGAAAGGACACAGGAAAATATCAGTTTGGACTCAAGAGCGACAACTGTGTTAATATGCTCATAGCTTTAGAGTTGTTCTCAAGTTATTTATGTGTGTTTTGTCTCCCTCCTTAACTTACAAATTTCTTGAGAATGAATGAGGGAAGAAGCATTTATTAAGCATTTACTGTGTGCAAGGCATGCTGCTAAGGTTTGGGGATACAAATAGAAAAAGAAGAGAAAAAGGATTATATCATATTTTTCCCTCTGATATAATAAGAGATAGCATTTATATAACGCTTTAAGATTTGCAAGGCACTTGACAAATATTTTCTCATTTTATCCTCAAAATAACCCTAAGAGTGGCACTATTATTAGCTCCATCTTATGCCCATTTTACAGATGAGGAAACTGAGGCAGACAGGTTAAGTGACTTGCCCAAGGTCACACAGCTACTAAGATTCTGAATTTAGATTTGAACTCAGGTCTTCCTGATTCCTCCTGTCCTCTAGCCATTGAATCACCTTTCAGCCTTGATATTTTGCAAAGGCTTGTAAGTAGCATAACGTTCTGCATACCATAGGTCATATACATGTGTGTATATGTATTTACATATATGTGCATATATACA